AGACCCAGGGGACAAGGCCAGGCTGCCAGGGGAAGCAACAACAAGCCCCCAGTGGGGGCCGAGGGCCTGGTATCGAGACCACCAGACATGGGGTTTCCCTGTGGTTTGGGCCGGACTCTGGATTACCCCGAAAATGGCAAGAGCCAAGAGTGACTTGGCCGGAGGAGCAGGTCACAGCCACCAAGGGACCCCCAGTGGCCTGGCCGGCCATTTAGCCGGACTGGAGTAGGGGAGAAGCCACACAACGCTGTGCCCAGCTGTGAGGAGGCGTCCGGATGGTGAGTCTCTTTGCCCCTGCTGGAGAAGCCCCCCAAGCCCTGGAAAAGCATTCCTGCTCTCTTCCTCAATCCACAGGATCAGGGCTACACTGCTTTGGAACAGTCTCTAGGAGGAAATCCAACAGTGTGCCAGACCCCCCCAGGGTCTGACTCTTCACACAGCCTCACCGCCTCCTAAGACTGAACCTATGGGTCTCCAGCCCTCCTGCTTCACGCCAGGAACTCTGTCCGGAGAATGCAATTGAGGCAGACTCCTGGAGAGATGTGGCCACGATGCAGGGATGAATACGCTCCGCCCAGCATTTGCAAACTGGCATGGCACTGTCACAAGAGCTGGGTTCATGAGTCACCTGGACACAGCCTAGGAAGCCCTTAGATTAGAGATGAAGGTTACAGCACAGACCATCCTGGGGAGCCCAGCGCCTGGCCAAGCTTCAGGGAATGCCTTGGGTCGAGCTCTGTCTGTCTCCATATGTCTCCTTGGTCAGACTCCCAGTGAGAGCCCTGATTCCTCCCTGCCCCCAGCTCTCATCCCCTACCTCACACCTCCCCATCCTTTGATCTCCAGCAGAGGGATTGTTCAGCTTCTCTGTGGAGAGGCGAAATCCATCTCCCTCTGGGTGTTTGAGTGCTAGGTGTCAACATCTTGGGAGTTGGGTTTGCTGTTGTCTTCTCAGATTCTCCATTGAACGGGGTCGGTCTGGGCCAGTCCTTTGGAATGGTAGCCTGGCAATGTTCATAACTATATTTCTCTCCTGCCCAGAGAGCAAACAGTCCTTTTCCAGCCACTGGGTAACCATGCAGCATAGCGGGGAACCTGAGAGACACATGGGAGTCATAAAAATATTATGGAAAACTCCCACTTCTTCACATCCCTTCAGCCCCGGCAGGTAGGAAAGCTGCTGCCACAGCAGGCTTTGGTGCCCATGGAGTGTATGTGATCAGTGACAGAGTGAGGAACAGAATCCAGTGTGATGAGTCTCCCCCACAGAGCCACCTGGAATGGGGGTAGCACTGATCCCCCAACCCACCAGTCTGCTGTGACAAACTGCAAATCCCTCCAGCCTGCACTTTCACCAGTGTTCACACAGGTAGGGACACACCCAGCTGCAGTTACATGTGGGCTCTCTATCCACCAGCTTCTCAGCTTGGGACCCCAGAGCAGTACTGTCCTGCCCAGGTCAAATCTAGCCAGTATCTGGCCAGTATATGTACCCGGTCTGCCTCTCCCTCAATGTGAAGAGAACAATGCACATTTGTGGTAACCAAGCAGAGATTTTCCCCAAGCACTCCAGTCAAAGCTCACTGGTTTAGATTAAAACAAAAACAAGTTTATTAACTACAAAAGATAGATTTTAAGTGATTATAAGTGATCAAAGCAGATTACCTAGCAAACAAACAAAAAACACAAACTAAGCTTAATATACTAAATAGATTGGATATGAATAGCAGATTCTCACCCTAACTGATGGTACAGGCAGACTTGTAGTTTCTTAATGCACAAGCTACACTTGCTTTGCCGCTTGGAATCCCAGGTGTTTCATACACAGGCTAGAAATCCCTTTAGCCTGGGTCCAGCACTTCCCCCAGTTCAGTCTCTGTTCCTCTGATATTTCAGGAGTCTTCTTGTGTGAGGAGTGAAGACCTACCGATGATGTCACTCCCTGCCTTATATAGCTTTAGCATATGGTGGGAACTATTTGTTTCAAAGCTTTGTTCCCAGACCAGTTTGTGGAAAAACATTGACCTCCCAAGATGGAGTCCAGAGTCATGTGGCCTGTCACATGTCCTTTCTGGGTCATAGCAGCCCTTACCTACAGGCTGGATCGACTGTTTGCAGGAAGACTAATCTCTTTCATAGTCCGTTGTCTTTGCTGATGGGCCATAAGCCCCATCTGGCTTCTTCATTCTTCAACACCCACTGAAAGCCTGGCTGTGGGTGTTTTCCAGAGTAAGCCCATTTGAAATACAGATCCTTAGTCAATATTCACAACTTCAGATACAAAAATGATACATGCATACAAATAGGATAATTATATTCAGCAAACATAACTTCCAATGATACCTCACATGACCCATCTTGTTCAAAATGCATCATAAATTATGCCATAATCATATCATAATAATATCACTATGATGAATATGGGGTGCAGTGTCACACCCAGCTTCTAGCCCCCTTGGCCTGACCAGCAGCAGAAGATGGGCGTGGGTGTGGAGTGCACAAGCTGGAGGAATGGGGTGGCAGGACGCAGAAGTGGTGGTGGGACCACAGGCCAGGGATGGGGCCCAGCAGTGGGGGTGATGTGGGGAGTTCGAAGGCTCAGGGGTTAGCAATCTTATTTTTCTAAACCAGGTGTTGTGAGTTCACATTTCATTGGGGCTGTTATTTAATGAATTAACAAAAAGTCCAGTTCACCCCTTGGTGATTTTATCCTCACCCTTGCTCAAGCCCTGACCAAGGATTCTTGCCCGAATTGCCTTTTAATCCCACCCACCCTTAACATTAATAGCCACCAAAGGCCGCAGCAGGGGCCTGCCTTTGACCGTGTGTAGAACAGAAGCCTGAGAGGAAGGCGTCATTAATTAACTAATTATTTTACTTTATTAATATTCCTACCTGTAGCTGGCCCAAGGACTTTACTTTATTAATATTCCTACCTGTAGCTGGCCCAAGGACTTTCCCCAGCTCCTGATTCTCTGAGTTAAAATTGCCCCCAAAAGACAAAAGTTGGAATTGACCCATTGAATATTTAAGCCCCGTTCCCAGTTGCGTTTTGGTGATGGAGCTGTGGTTTGCTTAGAGGAGCTGATGCTGAATTCTCACCAGTAGGAGGCACAAACAATCTATCTGCAATGCAAGGAGATGCTGCGTGGTGACACTTAGAGGTTGCTTTCCAGCCTTGCTCCTATGTGGCTTGTTGATCTACAGGCTCTTAGGGTCATTTTGGTTGTGAGAGGTCCTGGTTCAACTCCTGGGCAAGCCAATTTCTTACTGTCAAGAGGACAGTTACAAGAAAAGACCCAAGTTGGTCTAACCCCAATTTTTTAAATCTATCTATCCATCCCCATACATGTCAGTCAGATTGTCTATCCCAATTCATCTCTCTCTTCCTACCATGCTGGAAATAGCTCTCCTACTACACACAGTGAAATCAGAGTCCATATTATTGCATCTCTTCCTCTGTTCTGGCAGCTGTATATAGCTATGGTTGGATAACAAACAACAGAGAAGAGTTTGAGAGAATGGGAGGGGCCACAGCGGAATCACCCACGGGTCCATCTAGCTCATGAACATACCATTCCTTCAAAGAAAAGTGCAAGGACTCCCCCCAGTGAGCAATTCTGGAACCACTAAGCAAAGAGGAAATTAATCCCTGACTCCTGTAATGCAGCAGTGATGCAAAGAGGAATTAGATGACGTCTGTGTTGTTTATTGTATTTAATGACACTCAGGATGTTCTCATTAACAGCGTGAATAGCAAAGCCTTTTCCTGAATGGGGCTAAGATCTCACAGCCTCAATAACAACCGGCGTAGGGAATGTGCTGGTTAATGAAGAGGCCAGAGACACACCTGATACAACCTTCAAGGAGGCAGGGGATGGCAGTGAGCCAAGGGTGTGTGGGTGCAGAGTGATCCATTAGGGTGGCATGAGACTACAGGGCTAGTGCTGCCAGGCTTGTCGGTCCAGCGATATGAATTTTACTTCCAGTGTGTAAGGTCCTGGGTTTAAATCCCTGGTGTGTGCAATCTTTTGCAGAAGAACAATATTGCACATCGAGAGTATTGTCTAAAGACAAAGCAGCAGAGGGTTGAGGGCAAAGGAGGCCTGTATCAGAGCGGGTTAGAAAGTCCTGGGAGGGATTCTAGTTTTGGGCTGTCGATGGGGTGGCAGAACAGAGTTGAGTTAGAAACAGGGTTCAGGTTTGGGGTGCATTAAAAAGTCTTGCTTTATGGGCAGCACCTTCCTCTCAATCTTTATGTTCACCCATTGATCCCTTCACACACTGTTCTGGAAGTGGCTAATAGGTTTGGGAATTGATAGCAATGGGTTTGGAACCCAAGGCCCCAAAGAAATGTGAGCCTCCAATATCCACTTTAAACAGCTCAGCTACTGTGCCACCTGGAACACTCTCTAAGCTCAACAATGATTTTGGAAGTGGCACAGAATGGGGGCCCCTCAAACTCAGTCTTTGACCCTAGCTAGCCCCAGTTCCTGCAGGGAAAGGAGTTCTCTCCCCCACAAGAGGAATGAGGGTAAAACTTGCTCAGAGGCAAAATTTCCTCCTGACCTTACTCAGTTAGCGAATGGTTCCTGCCCTGAAGCATGGAGGTTAATATCTGTTGTGTCAGGTCTGTTTTAGGGGAGGGGAGTGTGGTCTAGCAGGTTAGCACAAGGGCATCTGGGAATCAGGATTCTTGGGTTCTAACCATGTTCCTGGGAGGGGAGTGGGGTCCAGTAGGTTAAAACAAGACAGATAAAAATTCAGGACTCCTAAATTCTATTCTCAGCTCTTGCGGGAAAGGGGGGTCTAATGGGTTAGAGCAGGGCTAGAGGTAGCAGTCAGGACTCCTGCGTTCTTTCCCTAACACCAGGCAGAGACTGAGACTGAAAGCACAGAGAAACTCACTGTAAAACCACAACACATTCCCAGCACACTCCTTAAGCGTTTAGTGACTCATCTCCTTGCTATCCCCAACCTAACTCAACAAGCCAGAGATTTCTTTGTAGGTATCAGGTTTTATTGAGTTTGGAGAGCACACAGAATTGCAGGAAGCAGGGAGTGGGGGGAATGTGCAAAAATAACAAACAATGACAAATAACACTGACTTGCTGTGAATATGAGGATGATCCAGTATCAAGCTGAATAATAGAAGGGTGAAATTGATGGATTAATTAAATTAATTGAGGGGCAGGTGTTTAGATGGGTGCTATGTGGCAGAAGGCTGTACAGGGTGGTAAAGGGGTGGCTCTGCTCTATAATGGGCAGAGGCCGGTGAGGGATGGCAACACCTAAACAATCTGACCAGTCTTCAGAGCTGGGTGCCATGGCTGGTGTGGAAGGGACAGAACAGGGGATAGAGGAAGCAGCCAGGTCCCCTGCCTGACTCCATGCCCAGCGCTGGGCCCTATATGTGCCTCACATAGTCTATGGGGAGCCCTTTCAAGCAGGCGAGGACAATTCTGCGGACATAGCGTGTCCCGGCGTAGGTGCGGCTCGTCGAGTTAAAGGCGCAGACGGTGATGTCGAAGGGAGCGACGCTGTGGCGTTCATTTGGCTTGCCGGGCGTCCCACCCAGGTTGCAGATGCCGTTGATGGATCCTATGGGTGCATGGATGAAGGTGTTGGCCTCCTGGCCGTACATCTCCCGGTGCTGCATCATAGTGTCGCAGTAGGTACCATTGGAGTCCTCGCTCCTGGGGTAATTCCAGTGCTTCAGCAGGAATTTGTCATTCTTCTCGTTCCACAGCTGCCCGCTGGCCAGAGCCAGCCCAGCCCCCAGCAGGACGAGGGACAGCAGGAGCACAGGGAAGGATATTTTCAGAGCCATGGCTATGTCTGGATCGACCTGCAGTGGGGAGAGGGGGGAGATGGATGGAGACAGCGCTGGGTGGGGATCTGCCTCCTCCATGGAACCTTCTGGGCCCAAACCCCTCCCACCCCATTTTGCTCTGAAAGCCCTTACCCCTCCTGTTGCTCCCTTCTGACCCCTGCCATCAACCCCTCCTTCCCCAGGAATCTCAAAACAGGAGGCTTCTCATTATCTGCATGACAGTAGCCCTTAGATGCTACAGCTGATATCAGGACCCCACCATACCAGCCATTGCTGGGACCCCAGCTAAGACTAGGGCCACCATTTCCTCTAATCTACTATTCCCCACTCTCTTCCCAGATCTGGGAATAGAACCCAGGAGTTCTGGCTGCTAGTCTTCTGGTCTCACCCACTCCCATCCCATAGGTGAGGGAAGAGTCTAGCCATCCTGGCCCCCCAGTCCCAAGTGACACTGTTCTCTCCTCTGTCCTGGCTGGTGGGATCTCCTGCAACTTACCCAAGTCCTTGTGTCTTCGCTGTTGTCAGAACAATGGATCCTGGCCTCTGATGAGCTGATCCTCCTTCCCTTCCTGGAGCATGTTATATAGAGGCCACCAGAGGTGGTGGAGTGGGAGGCGAAATCTAGGAAAGAATTGGGTCAACAGGATTTCTCAACATCAGGAAATTCAAAGCAGTGGTTCACCAGGCAGTGCAACTGTGGGGAGCAAGCAGCAGCTACACACTGAGCTCCACAGCAACATCTCAGGGTGTGTCTACCCAGCGAGCAGAGGTGCAATTGTAGCATGGGTAGGCAGAGCTGTGCCAGCTTTAATCTAGCTAGTGAGGGTATTGATAGCAGGCAGCACGGACTTCACCGAGGGCTAGCAGCCCCAGTACCAACTCGCCATGGACCCTGGGTATGTACTCAGGTTGCTAGCCCATGCTGCCGTGTCCCCATGGCTATTGTTACCCGTGCTAGCTAGATTAAAGCTAGCGTAGGAATGCCCACCCATGCTGCAAACACACCTTTGTTTGCTGTGTAGACGCACCCGAGTGCTGACCCACTGGCACCTTCCTAATCCAGTGCTAGCCTAGAACCTCACTCCCCCCCACATCATAGCTCTGCTGGTGCCCCTCAATCCTTACCCTCAGCTCCTCCCGCCCCGCCTCCCACAGGCAGCTGAGCTATGAAAATTGTTTATTCTCCTCTCTCAGGCCATCATATTTTTGAAAGCATGGCAGAAAAAAAGGAGAGCGAGAGATGTGCATCCAAACACACCATAGGCTGAGTTTTTTCAAGGCTCCCAAGGGATTTGGATGCAATGAAAATTAGTAGAAAACTAGGTGTCTAAATCCCTGTGGTGATTTGAAGGTGGCAGTCGGAGCACAGGGAGAGAGGAGCTGAGCCAGTTTCCACTAGATCAACCCTCTTTCCCCCCGCAACTCACAACCCTGATTTCCAGACCGAATGTGCTGACCACTGGAGCCATAGCCTTGTGGTGCGGCACATCCTGGATTCTAAGGAAAAAGGACTCCCGGGGAAATGCCAAAGGGGCGTCTGCCCCTGTTTGTGAGGGGCAGGAATGTGCCCTAGGAGATTTAATAATGGAAGAAGGAGAGAGATTGTGAATGACACAATGCGAGTGAATCACCCAGAGAGACTGATTGAGAAATGAGT